TATTATTAATAATTTTTAATTTTATTTAAAAAATTATAAAAACTTTTTAAAATTTCAGGCAAATTTGCCTGGAATACAGTTTAAGGGATAACTATTAATATAGCTCTTAATATACTACACTTCATCTTGGTTTTAAAAAATTTGATCATCTTATCAAAATCTTTTACAAACAAAATAATTATAACTACTCTAGTCTGTACTTTTTATATATCAATTTATATATTCTAATTATTAATATATACTCTAACTACAATATTCTCTTACTAAACTTTTTTAACTCTTTTACTATCCAATCCTGGATACAACATGCTTACTCTATATAGAAACAAGTTTATCATGCCTACTACTTTAAATACTTTTTTTTGTCTCTGCTACCAAATTAATCAGACTTTTGAAAAAAAATATAAAACTCTTATCTCTAAACCTATCCAAGTTATTAATAATATATTTAACTATTATTAGCCATCTGTACACTTCACTAATATCAAACTATCTAACTAAATTATAACAGACCCAACTCTAATTAAACAATATATACAAACCTATTTTAATAACTGGACTGTTTACAAATCTATTAATTTAACTCTTTTTAACAACTTTTAGTAGCAACAATATCAACTACTTATTTATATTAATCCTAACTAGTATAGCCCACTTATTATACCTATTACTAAAAATAAAGTTTTTCAAATAATTTTTAAACTTTCTAATAGTAAGGCTTGTGAATCTACAGGTATTAGTTATAAGATACTTAAACACTTTAGCCACTACTATATTATTATTTTTATAGTACTTTTTAATTGATGTCTCTTTGAAAACTCTATATTCAAGCTATAGAAACATGGCAGGATTTACCCATATCAAAAAACAATGCATTTAATAGAAATCTTAATTTTACTTGTCCAATTAGTTTAATCAAACATGCCAGAAAAATCTATACCAAAATTCTCACTAACAGACTTAATTATGTTTTCTCTCAATACTCTATTCTCTTACCTTTTAACTATATTGCTTTATCAGACAATAGTATATCTTCTTCTATTTATATTCTCAAAAACTTTATCAAAAATACTAACTACAACTATAAAGAGATTTGGCTTCTGTTTCAAGACATGAGTAAAGCCTATAATTCTGTTAACTTTGACCTCTTTAAATACTCTTTTTACCACCTTTCTTTTCTTTGTCTATTATTAATATTCTTTTAAATTTACTTGCCAACTACCAAAATAAGATTATAACTAATTTTGGTTTAACAAATCTATGCCAAGTTTAAAATAGTATCAATTAAGAGGAGACTATTACCCTCTTGCTTTGGCAAATTTACTATAACTCTTTTATCACTTATATATATTTAACCTTTCCTGAATTATTAACTTCTATTTTATAGCTTACCAATTTAAAAAACTTCTTTATCTAGAAACTCAAAGCTAATAGCTCTATATTGGCTTATATGAATAATACTCTGTGAATTGTATCTAGCCAAACTAAATTATCTAATATTCTCTTAATCACTAAATTCTTTTACAACATGGCTAACATTAAGTTTAATTTAACCAAATCTATATTAATATTCAACTCAAAACTAAATACCTACTACTCAATTTTTTTTAATAGCAAAATACTTCTACTTTGGCCTGCCAATTAGCTATTTAAGTTTCTTGGCTGCTAATTTACTCTTGATAACAAATACACTAAACAAATTCAAATTATTTTCTTTAAATCTTTCTAGCTAATTAAAATTGCTAGTATCAAACAAATAACTAGTATCTAGACCAGATATATTATTAACACTATTATAATTTCTACTTTGAAATACAGAAATCTTTAGTCAATCTATATGTAACAAGATTTTTAGACAATATATTAACTTAGTTAAACACAAAGCTAAACTTTGTTATACTATTTCTACTAGTATCTTGCTGGGCCTTAATATTTTATAATAATGAATTAAGAAATCAGATTATATAAGTTATGCTTAATCAACAAACTCCTTAATTTTTTGTATTCTTTTTGTAATGACAATTTCTGGTTTTTTGTCATACCATACTTCAAGAAAAAAAATTCCATTACCTTAATATATGCATCATTTTTGCCAATTATGATTAATAATATCTTCAAGTTTTTTAATATCTTTATACTAGCTAGTGCTATGAAGCTGATGCTAAGCCCCTTGCATCTCCAATACAATTTGATATTTTTGAAAAAGGCATCAAGCTCTAAACCATTCAAGAAAGAAAGGCAGTATTTGATTATAGATTTTTTATTAAGAATTTCCTTAGTTATCTGGATATACTTGGTCTGGAATTTACAATTTTTTTTAATTTCTTTTTCTGCCCGATCCTGCTCTAGTTTTAAAATTCTAGCCTCAAGCTTAGTGAAGCTTTGTCTCAATGCTTCAAGCCTAGCTTTCTTGTCAGTTTTTTTAGCTTTAAGCTTAGTGATTAATACTTCAAGCTCAGATAATATGATGGATAATATTTTTATTTATGAAAGAATTATTTAATGTTGTGTGACAAATGTAAAACTGCTTTATTAATATATGCAAAAAAATAAATACAAATGTTCAGGATCTAACCCATGACATATGACATCTATACTATTGTCTATGGACTAATGTCTGCATGAAAAATTTCATGCTCTATTACTTTATCAAAAAATTCTTAATCATATACAAGTTATACATCGATATCAATCAATAAATAAATAAATTTTTGAAATATACTTGCAAAAGTAAATGCAATTATGTATGTAAAATCAGCCACCAGGGCCAGCTTTATTGATATAAAAAAAATTACAATATAATTATGTTCTAAAAAATGCACTATTCTTTTTTAATTTCCTGTTACTATGTGAAGAAGAATTTATATCATTCACCCTCTAGATATTTTTTGAATTGATAATATCTTGTGTATTTACAATTATTCTATTCTAAAAATTGAGTATAGTATTAATAATTTTGTTTTATAAATATTTATAAACAATAAATACTTACTCATAAAATCAATAAAGCATATATAGTCATTGGCAAAAGTAATACCTGATTTTAATTACATGATTGATGATCATATAAATATGTAATGTTTACCTCTTATGGCAATTTGTGGGAAAAATCTTTTTTTTTCTTTCTTACTTTGACATTCTACGAAGCACTTGCAAAAAAAAAAATAAGTATAATATAAGCATGACTAGCACTTTAATGATAAATGAAGAAAAAGAAAAAATCCTGGCTTATATTAATTACATGAGCATCCAGAAGGCTGTCTAGGAAATGAGGCGTGACTCCACCACAATTTGAAGGTTTTTTGCCAAGTATTAGAGAACCAAGAAAATAGCAAATTTGCCAAGGTCTGAAAGACCCTGCACCCTCAAACAATAAAAAAAAATGCTCTGTAGAAGTGGCTCTAAAAAAAGATACAAGCCTTTGTATACCCTAGTCAACGATTTAAAGCTTGAGTGCAGTTTGAGAACTGCTTCTTAAGCTTTGGTGTTCAGTCTTGTATAGCAGCAAGGAAGCTATTCTTTACAGACAAAAATATAAAGAAAAGGTTTAAATGGTATCAAAAATACCTGTCATATAACACCTATAATTGGTGGTATATAATATTTTCTGATAAAACGTTCATGGAAATCAGTAAACAATCATGCCAAATTAGAGTATAATGCCTTAAAGGTAAAAGGTATAAAAATGAGTGCTTAACCCCAAGTTTTAAAAATGGTAGACATTCAGTAATAGTGTGGAGTTGTTTTGTTACCGGAATCAAAAATCCCCTTGTTTTTTTTGATATATAAAGGACCAAAGCAAAAAATAAATAAAAAAATATATACTAAGATCCTGGAAGACTATTTAATATTATTTTATGAAAGAGCTAAAGCATCTTGTTCATTAGTAGGTGCAAAAATAATATTTTAACAAGACAATGTGCCGATACATAAAGTAGCCAATTGGCTTAAAAAAAAAAAATCCCTAAATTGAGCTGGCCTGCAAGATCTCTTGATCTTAATCCAATCAAAAATGTTTGAAAGATATTGAAGAACAATATTCAAAGCCAAAAAGATTTTCCAAAAAAAGTAAATGACCTCAAAATCACCCTAATTGAAGAGTGGTTGAAATTAGATAAGTCAGTTTTTTTGGAGTCTGTAGACTCAGTTCCAACAAGGATCAAAGCGATATTCGATACAGTGGGTGGGCATTGCAAATATTGATTAGGCAAAAAAAAAAAAAAATTATGTATATACTGCAAACATGAAAAAAAATCATGTATTTTGTTGCAGATTCGTTTAATAAAAAAATTGGGCATTACTTTTGCCGATGACTGTACGAATTCCTCAACTTCATTGGCTAATTCATCTTCAAAAGGTATTTTTGCTCGCAAAATGGGGAGGTAATATTTAATACCTTTTTCGCGTATCAACCCATGTATTTCTATATACTTACCTGCAATATTAACACTAAATTCTATATAATTTCTATTAAGAGAACCCTTTTCACAAATTTTAAAAAGCTCTTCGGTTCCGTCTAAACAAAATTGCACTAATTTGTTATGATCGTTACGAATTTTTTCATTATCACAGTTCCATTTTCCACTCTCAAGATATACCATTTTCTGTGAAAAAGCATACGAATCATAAGGTCTGGTTTATTTCCTCTTGATCCCTTTTGCTGCTGAACCTTCCAATTTTTACTAGCTATGCTTTGACGCTCAGCCCTTGTAACCTCAATTTCATAGCCTACAGGCAAGCGGTACATAGCAGTGTCTATTAGTCGAACTATAATTTCTACAAGAGAATTTTCTGAGCCATGAGAAACCTTACGAAGCGCATTTAGTTTTATTTCTTGTAGAAGTACATCGATAATTCCTCTTACTATACGTTCTTTCTCATATTCTTCTTTCAACCCACTGGTCATGTGTTACCATTTCTGATGGCGATAATACAAATTTGCATAATCGACTAAGTTCATTTCTTCCTACTACAAAGTCGGCACATAATTTTTTAATTCCAGCACTTTTGGTCAACTCTCTTATATCGGCCTTTTCTCCCTAGTAAAAATATTTTAATAGAAAACGGTTAACACATTTTTATTAATTGATGGAGTTGACTTTTACTTCATACCACAAGATCTTTGTAGTTATTTCCCGAAAGTTGGTATCTATCTGAGCTAAAGTCAATTACCCCAACGCATAATGGATCATTTTGTAACGAATCATCAACTTTCACTTCACAAAGTTTCGCATAAATGTGATCGTGAGATTGCGTTTTTCCATTTTTGAATGCGCTTTTCAAAATAGCTATGTTGTTAGATGCCTCGTTTCTCCAGTCTATGTATTCTTTAAAATCTCCTCGCAATTCACCTGCATCTATCAATGATATGAGTTCATCACGGGTATAATTGATCTAAAAAAAATAGTGTGGTTTAATATAGTTAGTATAGTTACAGAACATCAGTGATTACCGGCGTTTTTACTGTCCATAAACAGCATTATAATGAAAAAGAACCCTCGTTAGTGTATAACTTAATTCAATCGCATTATACTTATTAATTGGTGACAGACTACATTCATCATTTTTTGTAAATAATATAGAAATGTTATTTTACTTACTCTATTAACATCTTGTAATGTTATAATATGCTGTTTACGCTCTATGTTGTCATCGGTCTTATTATTCGTCATAGGTTTTGCACCGAAATGTAAAACGAAAATAATAATAATAATAATAATGTAAAAAAAAATAATAATAAATAAATAAAAAGCGAATAAAAATGAATCTCGCCTAAATATTAAATGCTAGCTAACTTTTCAACATTAAAAGAATACATTCGAATATTCCTCACGTTGACATCCACATATGTTTTTTGACATTTTAGGTAGCGCACCCACAAAAATTTTCCCCACCCGTGATTTATAAAACCGCGGTATAATTAGGGCTAGAGAGAGAACAATGTAGGGTTAGGGTTAGAGTTAGGGTTATTGCTATTAGTAAAATTTCACAAGGAACATTTTTAGTTAGGCCGCAGAAGGTGGTTTCTTAATTAAAATTTCGAGTTATTTCAGTTTATTTGTAAAAAATGGTTTCGCTTCGT